CACCTGAGTAATGGTTCATGACCCACCAAATAAGGACAGGGCAGCACTGCTCTTCATAAAAAAAAAAAACAGACAGTGCCCCACAGCTACAGTGTAGAGTTTCACAATGAAGCAAGTGAGGAAAACAAGGCCCAGTCTGTCAAGGCATCACCCTGAAGCTACAGCTCTATTCTGAGCAAGCAGGGCTGACTGCAGCCTTACTAAAATCAAATTCCCAAAACGGACGGGGGCCCAAACGAAGCACATTAATATCGCCCTGTTTTTTAGCGTGCATTTTAATTCCATCACCTAGAAACCCAGACCTCTCGCCCCCCCCCCAGCCATCGTGAGTATCCGTCAGCGTTGTGTCCGATACCATCAGTCTGAAGGGACTGGCGTTAACAATAACAGGCGGGTACTGAGGATGTCACCCTGGATCCCATTTGTTTCTTTAACGAACCAGGAACCATTAGCAGGATAGAGAGCATTATCACAGTGAATAATGATGTCAATTGTCCTGCAAGAGGCACTACAGCCAATGACAGAGGATTAACAGGCTACAACTTTTTCTCCTTCCCCTCCATCTCACATTTATTCTTTCTTATCTCTTCCATCTCTCCTTCTTTTTTTTCCCTGCAAAGCACCCGTGGGTTAAGAAGGCAAAAAAAAAAGACCAGAAGGGTACAGAACATTTTGTTAAGAAAAATAAATATTCCAAAAGGAGACCTCTTTTGTGACCCATTTCCTCATCTACCAATGCAATGGAATGACCCGTTAAGTCTGCAGGTGCCAAACCACTATGACCCAGGTGGGGAGGAAGAACGTCTTGCTACACTCTTATCGTTCTCTCACTGCTATTGAGAGAAATGCTTTTATGATTGCTCTCCCGAGATTTATTTCTTCTCTGGGCTTCAAGTGCACAATGGTGTTGATAACTGGAAGGGCGCCACTCAGCAGACATCCTGACAGACTGACATCACCTTTGCCGCCAAACTCACCTGCGCTGATGAAAGTCGGCTTCCACCTGTGTAAGAAAGCACCTGGCCATTCTTCCCCTTCCCAGCCGCGTGTGGTGAAGACCCGATGTTTTGGCAGAACGCAGTAGGAACCTCACCCTAATATGGGAGACACTTCCTTCAAGCCGAGCAAAGATGCCCCTTTAACAAATGGCACTGGTCAGTCCTCCAATATCTCCAGACTGAACAGTCCATTACTTAAACAAAAAAGCTTCTGAGCTTTTCAAAACACCACCAAAATCCTGACTCAACTTTTTTTTTGTAATTTTTTTTTTTTGTCTGCACAAGGATAATGCTTTTAAGCAGTCAAACCCTGATTAACGTACATGCAAGTGTAGCAATGTACAAAGTACATTTGTCTCTGCTGTCAGACTCAACTTTTTCCCTTGCTTGTGGATCTAGTAAAAATTGCATCAAGGGCAGAATCAGAACACTGGTTGAACTGAAGTGAAGACTTCAGTTGCACTGTTCTTTTAAAACGCATTTCCTCCTTATCACAGAATCCCCAAGACAGAGAGGGCAAGCACACATTTAAACTCCTGCGCTGACAGTGGCGTATGTGTCTCAGACTGCAGTAATCAGTAAACGGGTTTTTTAAAATTTAAACCATACGCACTGCAATGCCCACTGATTAAAAATAACAAAATAGCATTTTCACAATATTAATCTCATGGAATATAACTGTACCCAAGAGAAAAAAAAGGAAAGGCGTGGAGTCACAATGCTCTGATGAGGTCAACTTAGAATTTAAAACAAAATCCCACATTTTTCCCATTGACCAGCGCTTCAGGGAAACCATTAGCAATTATCAGAAACACTAAAAAGGCATTTTCAGAATAACAACCATGGTATTTCACATTTCAACTGTTTAGCATTCTGTCACTCTACAGTTTTATTCTTTTTTATTCCTGCATGAAAAGCACAGAAGTAACACAGTGCCTGGCTTTTAAAAGGCAATAAAATACTAATAGTCCCCACAGTGAGTGGCTCACATTTCAGTTTACTGTGAAGGCCTCTGCCTCCAACACTGGACCATACCGGGGCTTAGAAAGCATGCATCTCCGACATTAATAAGCACTTCCTTTGGCACTTCACTCCTAAACCCTTCTTTGACATTCAGCTGTTGCCCTATTGTTCGCAATGCTCTGATCGGTATTCTCATGCTAACTTAAGTCAAGCATCCGCTTGAGAAACAGCAGCAGAAACGCCTGAAAAAGAACCCAGAAAAGGTGATGTTCTGGGGAGGGGCCAACAGCCGAACTCTCCACTGGGGGGGCAGCACACCTGCAGTCGGCTCGCCCCACGACAATTATTCTAATTAATCCATTAAAACGATGGTGCAGAGGGTAGCAGTCCCATATCACAACTCCAGAGCCCCAGGCTGGAATCGGTGTGCTCACCCCATGCCGTCTCGAAACTGCCACCTGTAAGCACTCCTGCATACCTGTAATAGACAGGTGTCCCACCCAGTGTGCCGTCCTTCCTCGAACCCAGGGCCAGTGGGGTCGGGCTCTGGCTCACCGAGACCCTCGATTGACAACGGATGGATGGATGGATGAATGAACGTAAAAATTAAAATAAATGAGTTGCAATTGTCAAAATTTGACATTTTAGCATCGGCCTGTAACCAAGGTGGCCAAATTTCAGCTCAATGTCATCTGAATATCAATCTACCCAGGTTCACCCAAAATAACAAAGCAAGTATTTGTTTTGAATGCAGGAATTCGTATTAAACCAAAATTCAAATTCTACAGTAGTACGCGCGTTCAAATAAAAAATTAGACGGTAAAGCTTGATTTCTATTCATGAATGTGTAAAGAGAATTTTCTGTTCTGGAAATGTCAGAAAGCGAGAGATCTGCCTTCTGCTGTTTCACACCACTAGAGGGAGCTCTGTGTCTCCTTTCTGAGGAAATCAAGGCTGCTAACTCAAGGACCCCCCCCATCCCTCCACATTCGTATTTCCTGCCACCCTGTTCACCCATCCCTGCCTCCACAACACACGCACACGCATCTGTCACACCAGGTGAACGGGTGGACAGCCACCAGCAAGACAAATCGCAGCGCCGCCACATCCATAACTCTGACATATCGGTAAAAATTAAACGGGCATATCCGAGACGGAGAGGAGCACGCGGATGGATGTTCATACCCGGAATTAACCCAAACCGGCTGACAGGCGAGCTCCCGCAGAGGGGCAGGCAGGTGGCAGGGAGAGGGAACTGGCACCACAGACAGCTGGACGGGGCAAACGTTTCGCCGGGATTGGTTTTTGTGTCTCGGCAGAACTGAAATACCGCGCTTCACGGTGTCTTCAACTCTGTTTTCTGTTGCAATGGATTAAGAGTTTATGTTGTGAACTGAAGCTGAATTTAACCTCTTCATTGACCTTCTAAGGAATTTTGTGTGAAAGTTATCAATGCAAAATGAAGAACACTCAGGAACACAAAACTGAATCTTCCAGTTGATCATATCAGGTGTCCTTTAGGTAACCTCACACCTTACTTACACACTTACTAATTACCTAACCTTACTTCTTACACCTGTTACTAGAATGTTTTTTACGGCTTAAAGGAGCTTAAATTTACACTTAATTTTGATTAATCTTCCATCAGACTTGTGAATAAAATATTTACTTTAAACATGAAGGCACTGCTACGTACGATGAGGTGTACTTCCATGTACTTTCCATGTAGCTGAATCTTGAACACTTTTTTCTTTTGATTCAGGCACTTGCTATGAGTGTAAAAAAGCCGTGCTTAGACACTGTAAATCATGTCTTATTTCTCAAAGGGTTGTCCCTTGGTCTAATATTTTAATAATAAAAGAAACGCGTAGGATTGCAGTGGGTGCACGGAGACTCACAGCTGGCTGCGCTTTATGTGTTCAGCTTAATCTGCTTTCTCTGAAGGAGAAGTGTGAGAGTCGCTGGTAATTATTGATTTACAATCGCAGGGAGCTCTGCCAAGCAGTCTAAGGAAGTTACTGATGGAATCGTGGAAGTGCACGGACACAGAACGGTGGTTTAAAAAATTGCCACAAGATCCGAGCCTCACATCAGGAAAGAGGGGAACTGGATAGATGCCAGACTGACGTGAATATTTAACGATGCCAGGAGTGCCTTCGGAGCTGGATAATTTACAAAGAAACAGCCGACAGCAGAGGCGAGGTATGGGTGTTGTGTAAATGAACGCTGCTTGCTGTTTAAGCACGTTCAGTGGTCTCTTTGTGGAGCCATCTTGGTTCAGCCCCCCACCCAGGAACCACCCTGGGGTCCCTTAGCAAACACACAGGAGAAAACCAGAACTGACCCATTTTAAGTGCTCTGCTTCTGGCTGACGACTGCTCACGCGTGTTTGCGGTCCTGTCTCCCACCGCATCTCGCCGCACTTTTGTTTACAAACCCCAAATCCACCAATAAGAAACTCCGCACGAGGTCAAAGGGGACTTGCCACAGCTTCGGCCCTCTCGTGCTATTCTGGGCTCTATAAAAGTAGAGCTGTGGGGACGTCGCCACATCATCCGTCTGCTTAAGGAGTCACTGCCTTTGTAGGAACATTTCCTACAGTCGTTGATCACACGCCCACACACACTCTTGTAATTGATCTTGTTCTCTTTTGATAACAGAGGTCAGCTCTGTCCTGGCTTGGGGTTCACACCCATTTCTCCCACATCCCCCATTGCTACTGATTCGGGGCGCAGCCGAGCCAAACAGCGCTTCGTACGAAGCCTGGGGCGGCGTCATCCTACGACATCGACCGACGCCAACGAAGGACCACCATCTCATCAATAAGGCATCACCCACCCCAGTGACTGGAGCTGCACACTGGAGCTGCAGAATCCAATCCAATCAATAGGAACCTGACCGGCGTTCAGCTGCCGAAATGGCTGACAAGCCCAGGTGCCGCGGGAAGGTACGCAGAGATGGCATGGGCAGGAAAGGATGGTGCAGTGTCCGACGGGGCCGGACCCGGGTGAGAATCAAGTGAACGGAGACTGTACGTACACTCCGGAGAGCCGTCGTCCTGGTAATCGGAGGCCACAGAGACGTCATCAGATGGCACAGAGGGACCCAGGCTCACACTCTGGTTGTCATCGGAGCTGTCATCCGGTCCAGAGTCAACTGGAAAAGCAGAAAGGCATGAAGTTAGGAATGTGGGGACGGAGGCCAAGGCTGTATGAAAGGGAGAGTTCTTCACAGAGCTTGCAGGCAATAAGGCCAAGAATCACAGGCAGGGAGGAGGTTGTTATTCTGACTAAAGATAGTTTACTGCCTGAAATGAACTGAAACCAACAGCACATACTGATCACAGAGAATCCAGTAAATACAAACAGATACAGTACGGACTTGGGTCTAAAACTTTCTTAACTTTCCTACCTCACACAAGGCTAAGAAACAGCCGAGCAAAGAAACGCCAAGAAACACAAAACAGCCAAAGCTTTTTGTGTGTTCCAAAGCCAGACCGACTCCAACTTCCTAATGCAAAAGAAGTAGTAATGATTGTCAAAATGTTAAATACCATTAAGCCCCGGTCACCCCTTTAAGAGGGACACAGACTTCTGCAATTGCTTAAATACTCCAAAAAAACCTTCTTTTTCAAAGAAAGTGTACCAGCACATTGTACAGATGAGTGCTTATAAACATAAGAACAGCAGCCAGTGCTGTAACTCTGAATTCACTTGATGTTCTTTCCTTCTGAATGGCAGTGCCATATTCTTAAAAATTATTTTTGCTCAGCAGAATTTTTTTTGGGGGGGGGGCATGGAGACATCTTTCTCTCTTTCCACCAATAAAGACCCCAGGATATTCAAGCTGCTTCCTTGTCAGGGCACGGGGATTTAATCCAGCTCAGCTATTCGCTAACGGGTTAAAAAGTTCTGATTGAAGCAGAAAAACGACTAAATGGCAGCTGGACATGGAATCACTGCACCTATCGCACAGTACATCAAATACAGCTCTTCTCTCTACTAGGGTTAAAGTTCTGCATAACAGATTTTTACTTTTTAAAAGTTAGATATACAGAAGACACAAATGAGATGAATAACTGGCCACTCAGGAAGAGCCTCTTATTCGGAAAGAGGATATGGGATGCCATCTTCTTCCCAATTAAGAGAAATGGATTTAAAATTAAAAAGATTAAAAATACGTCATCATCTTGGTGTCCGAAGCCGACAATTGCTTGTAAAAAGAAGTCCCATCTCACTTAGATCTAAAGCAGCCCGAAACACTTGAGGGTCATTATTTTGTCAATGAAACGTTCTTCTACAGTATATGGTCTGTGCAATTTACAGAATCGTTATTAACATAAATATGTTGTTTATTAATATTTGTGGCTGGAAAAATTATTAAATTGGAATATATAGTGGTTATACTGAAATCTGAATTACATATTAAAGCCGCAAAAAGTTAAAATTTGTTACCATTTATTTTACATTCTAAATTATAAACATACTTAAACTCATTTTTTGTTGCCCATTTCCAAAGTCTTTCATAACCGAGGTTAAATTGCTGTTCATCGCAAATCGGGCAGAGCTGCTAGCCACAAAAAACCCTGAAAAGTTCTGAAAAGCAAACTAACCCGAATAGCGTACGCCTATGACAAACCAAACCGCAGGACGGGTTTTTGAACCCGTCAGGAGTGAAATTCACCCACTGTTCAAGTCAGGAGTGAAATTCACCCACTGTTTCTGTGGGAGCACGTTAAATCCGAGACCGGAGGAAAGGCTCAATGATTTTTTCACCTTCGGTATTTCCACTTGTCTCATCGATCTGTTACCGCTGGCTCACATGGGAAGCCGGCACGGTTGTGCTCTGCCTGGAGAAATCGGTTTTGTAAATAAGCACACAACCTCACGGGCCAGAGAGACAGGCTCAGCGGCACAAGCACAGCATCTGCAGGCCATTTACGCCGGCCTGCGAGAGGCACAGAGGCTGCTGCACTTCTGCCCATCACCTCGGGGGGGCAAAGCCAATGTTGTATTTTTCCAAGTTTATCAGTTGGTTTTGGTGGGCGAGTCATTCTATCTGGGGGCATTTTATGAAGACATCACCTCCCCACCCAAAGAAAAAAAGAAATCTGCAGCGCGTCCGATTATGAAAATTTTCCAAATGTCCTTAAAAACATTGATGAATGCAAAATGTACTAAAATGACAGGACTGGTGTGAAACGCCTCTGGTGAGAGCACGTAAGCTGTTATTTACGCAGTGCCATTATTGATACCTGACTGTTTATCTCCCC